TTTGCATCTATGGTCAGGCTTATTTTCTACGCCACTCTACAGAGAGAAAAGAGTATCCATCATTCCAGTCAAGAAAACAGGTGAGAGGGCCCTTTACTGTTGTGGTATATATCAAAAGACTGTGCCATGAACTCTGTAAGGATGAGTAACAGTTCATGAAACCTCAGGAAAAGTTAAAGACAGATGGAGAAAAAATGGAGATTTGGTTTCTTTTGATTCCTCACAAGCTATGTCATCAAACCACACTGCAGAGATTAGAAATTGCTTCTTCAGCTCAGGATTTCTGAACCTGGGAACTGAGGGACAAATCCAGTGTGGCTCATAGACTGCACTACTTATGAACAGAAGACACATGAAAACACCGATTCAACCTGCAGGTAGAAATAAGAATAATATAATTTGTCCAAAGAAGTACAGTATTAGGGGCTGGCGCTGTGGCTCAGTGGTAGAGTGTTCATCTAGCATGTACTAGGCACTGGGTTTGATCCTCAGCACCACATAAATGTAAAATAAAGATACTGTGTGCACCTAAAATTTAAAAAATAAATATATAAAAAAAGTACAGTGTGTTAGTCAGCTTTCCATTACTACAACCAATACCTGATATAATCAGGTTATCGAGAAAAGATTTACTTTGACTCATAGTTTTGGAGGGTGCAGGGGGACTATGGTCTCCTAGTCCCCCTGCTTCTGGGCCTGTGGCAAGGTAGCACATCATGGTAGGAGTGTGTGATGGTACAAAGCTGCTCACCTCATGGCTAGGATAGTGGCTGGGATCCCACTATCCCTTTAACAGCATACCACCAAAGACCTAAAGACCTTCTACTTAGACCAACCTCTGAAAGTTTCCACCACCTCCCCAAAGCATGTCAAGCCGAGGACCAAGACTTCAACAAACACACAAATACACACACAAAGACTTCAACACATGGGCCTTTAGGGGATATTCCAGATCTACACCCACAGCATATAGATTCAAACTGGCCCCACAGGCTGAGCAAAAAGCAAACAGACGGCAGACACTTGCCACTGCCAAACTACCCAGAATCACTGATGAGGCAGCACATCACGGTAAGAATGTGTGATGGAGCAAAGAAGCTCACCTCACAGCAAGAAAAATAAATAAATTTTGGAAATTTAATTATTAGATGTGAAGCTGGGTGAGGTGGTAAACACCTGTGATCCCAAGAGGAGGATGGCAAGTTCAAGGTTAGCCTGGCCAACTTAGCAAGACCCTGTCTCAAAATTTTAAAAAAAGGGCTAAGGATGCAGCTCAGTGGCAGAACACTTGCCTAGCACAGTCCTGCTACGGGTTCAATCAGTAAGAACAAGAAGGAAGGGGGGAGGGGGAGAAGGGAGGGAGGTAAAGGGTGGGGAGGAAGGGAGTGAAAATCCAGGACCCAGCAGCATGCAAAGCCTGGCTCCCTTGCTGCCTCAGGACTTCTGCTCAGCATGATCTTCTCAGGAAGACCTCTAAGAACTTTAATGCTACACTGGAGGCACATGTCCTTCCTCCTGTCCCGCTTCATGACCCACCTCAGGCCTGCCCACCCCCACAAGAGGAAGCACGGGTTCTGTTCTGTCTACTGATGTGCCCTCAGTGCCAACAACTCCTGACATACAACAGATACTCTAGACCTCTGATGATGAACCAGTGATTTAATGAAGCCCCAGATTTCAAATATACCCTGACTGAACTTTCCTTATAGCTCAAGAGTATTTCAGTGTGCCAGGCAAGGTGGTTCACACCTGTAACCCCAATGACTAGAGAGGCTGAGGCAGGAGTATCCCAAATTGGAGGCCAGCCTCAGCAATTTAGCAAGGCCCTGAGCAACTTAAAGAGACCCAGTATCCAAAACAAAAGAGTATTTTGGTGTTAGGACTGGGGGTATAGCTCAGCAGCTGAGCACTTGCCTATCACCAATCCCCATACCGCAGGGGGGGGGGGAGAGGATGAGTGTTACATAACAGAATTCTCCTATTAAAAATGACAAACAGCACTAAGCTCATATCTGCACAACCAGCCAAATAAACCCCCACTTTTTCTCTCAGTACTTTTTGTTTATTTTTAATTTTGTTTGTTACCAGAGATTAAACTCAGGGGCACTCAGTCACTGAGCCACATCCCCAGCCCAATTCTGTATTTTATTTAGAGACAGGGTCTCACTGAGTTGCTTAATGCCTCCCTATTGCTGAGGCTGGCTTTGAACTCGAAATCCTCCTGAATCGGGGCTGGGGATGTGGCTCAAGCGGTAGCGCGCTCACCTGGCATGCATGCGGCCCGGGTTAGATCCTCAGCACCACATACAAACAAAGATGTTGTGTCTGCCGAAAACTTAAAAATAAAATATTAAAAAATTCTCTCTTTCTCCCTCTCTCTCTCTCTCTCACACTCTCTCTTTAAAAAAAAAAAAAAGAAAGAAAAAGAAATCCTCCTGAATCAGCCTCCCGTGCCGCTGAGATTACAGGCATGTGCCACCGCGCCCCGCCAGCCCTTTTTTCATTTTGAGACAGAGTCTCACTAAGTTGCTGAGGCTGGCCTCAAACATAGGATCCTACTGCCTTAGCTTCCCAAGTGGGCGTGCACCACTGTGTCCAGCAATAAAACCCAATTTTTAGAAATGTTTAAAAAGCTATATTCTAAGATTGCTGGCAACAGAATTTCCATTACAATTTATCAACTCCACACACACAGGTCCTGCACATGAGTGTTTCAATAAATACATGAGTGTTTCAATAAATACCTATAAACATTAAGGCAAATTTTGTTTATGTCCTGAAATGACCTAAAGACTTAACCCTACTCAATCATGAGATCCCATGTCACAATAAAGAGAAAGGATTTAATAGAGTCCTATTATAATCCAGAATCAAAATTAACTAAATCTGGACTCAACTTTGCTATACACAGAAAACACATTCAATTACCTCCCAAGTACTAAGTCTTCAAATAACTACCTCTACCTAAAACTTGTTTTTTTTTTGTTTTTTTCCCTTTATGTTCTGGTCACTAAATTTGGTAATACACATACAAATACACATACACCTCACTGTAACGAAGGCTAGCCTAGAATTTTTCAAAGGACCATTCAGTTCAGCAGTTTTCAAAATCAGGACATTAGCAGGACTCTAAATTCACACTGGAGAAAATTTCTATCTCAAATATGATATTAAAATTTTTAGGGAACTTAAAAAAAAATCCACCTAATTCTGTATTTCATTTGATTCATCTAACACTTACTGGCTATGATCAAGATATTATGCCTTAGCCAGGGGTGGTGACACAATCCTATAATCCCAGCAATTCGGGAGCCTGAAGCAAGAGGATCACAAATTCAAAGCCAGCCTCAACAAGTTAGTAAGACCCTGTCTCAAAATAAAAAGGACTGGAGTGTAGCTCAGTGGTAGAACATTCTTGGGTTCAATCACTAATACAAAAAAAAAAAAAAAATTCCTACATTTGTTAAATTTCCAATCTGATAAGAGATAATAAATGTGTAGGTTAAAAAAGTATTAAGTGTGGGATTTCTGAGGATTGGCTACCATTGTGAATGATTATCTAGACCAGGAAATTCAGGACCAACTGACTATTTCAGAGGAAACAAATGGTCACTGATGTTCTTCACCCTGGGAAAGCAACTGTACCTAAGAAAAAAATTTGAGAAAAATTAGCCAAAATGTACAAGACAAGACCAGATATCATCTTTGTGTTCAGATTCAAAACCCATCAGAGGTGGCAAAACAACTGGTTTGGACATGATTTATGATTCCTTAGATGATGCAAACAAAAAATGAACCCAAACATAGACTGGCAAGACCAAGCCTGTTATGAAAAGAAAAAGACCTGAAGAAAACAGCTAAAGGAACACAAGAACAGAATGAATAAAGTCCAGGGGGCTATGAAGGCAAATGCTGGTGCTGGCAAAAAGCCAAAGGAGTCGGGTTGGGGTTGGGGTTGGGGTTGGGGTTGTGGCTCAGCGGTAGAGCACTCGCCTCGCACGTAGGAGACCCTAGGTTCAATCCTCAGCACCACATAAAAATAAACAAGTGAAATAAAGGTGTTGTGTCCAACTATAACTAAAAAATAAAATAAAATAAAAAAAGCCAAAGGAATCAAGATTCTGCAATGACTTTATCTGTGGTGATTGTGCAAATTTTTCCCAAGGATTAATAAACTGTAAAAATTTTGTGTCAACAGAAAAGTCACTGCTTGGTTGAGAGGATCAGAAAAGGAAGCGTCAGACCCTGAGGGACAAAGATTAGCTTACCGGCTTGCAAACCAGGGCGGATGGGTGGAAATGAGAGAAGAGCAAAGGGAACTTTGATCTGGGTGTAAGAAAGCACATGCCCAGGTGAAGGGGACTAGAGAACCCATCTGAAGAGGTGACTGAGACACCTAGGAAGCCTTATGCTTCAGGGATCCTCAGTCACTAGGATCCAGGCTCACATGCCATAGGCCACCTAACAAGAGTATTCACTGGAGTGAGGCACTGGAGTAGAGCATTCCTGAGATCACCTGTATCCGTACAGTACCAAGGAAGACACTATGATGAATGCTATTTCTGTGCAGTAAAAAATATACAAAATAGGGCAGGGGTGTAACTCAGTGATAAAGCACAAGCAAGCCCCTGGGTTTAATCCCCAGCACTTAATAAACAAAACAACGACAACAACAAAAATGCATACAAATACAAACACAAAATACGAGATAAAAATAAAACTGTATTTTTGTATATTCATTTTCTTTTCTATTTAAAATACTGTATAACCAAAAATTATAAAAAAAAAATATTTAAGGAAATCAATACAACTTAATATATTTCATTATTTTTTTTAGCATCCTGTTTTAATACTTTCTGCTAAAACCAGGTCTTGGAAGCACCTAAATCCAATTATTTAGACAGTCTGTTTTACTTTCAATCATTGCCCCCCCAAAAAAAAGGTCCTTCTCAAACACATGTGGAGCTAAGTGGAAGAAGTATATCACTAGCTGTACTTACTAGCTCAGGACAGTTGGTTTCCAAACCCATCCACATATTGTGCAAGGGCTTTGATGAAATTCAACTAGTCAATTCACATCTTCCTCACAAGAGGTTCTTGTTCTTACATGGTGACCAGAGAGTATCATGTTTCTGTATTCTTAATAAAAAAGTTCGAAAATCTACTGTTATAACAGGAAGCTTTTAAACAAGCTGAAAAACTCATTCCCAAGTTTAAGTGTTCAGTAAGATGACCATTTATATTATTCTTAGCAAATACACAACACAGTGGAGACAATTCTAAACATCTATTTCAAAACATTCATTATAGCAAATTTTTCTCAAAAAGCAATTTTCTACTCATTGTTAAAATGTCACCTTTACCTTGAGAGGTAAAATTATATGTTTATTTTTCTCAAAAATACTGAATTTGCTAAGTAACTTTCTACTGACAGCCACTTATTACAGAAAAGGTTAGCAATTTAGACCATTCATCTTTATGTAAAAGAAAAATACTTCATCTGAACAGGCAACACTTTTAACCCACCACAAGATAACCAGCAAACCTCTGTGTCTTGCAAGTATTTTCATAGTCACTCCCACCTCATTACAAAATATTGTAAAGATTTAGCACTCTGTAAAGGTTTTGGGATTGCTGTAGGCACTCTCCTGTGTGTCATGTATTGCTTTTTCGGCAGTCCTATCTTAGCCAGGAAGCCTTTTTTTTTTTTTTTTTTTAATTACGAAGAAGCTGCTCTGGTGCATGAGATGTAGCTCAGTGGTAGAGCACTTATCTAGGAGGTTCAATTTCCCAACACGTGAAAAAGAGGGGCCTTCCCCCTCACCACTTAGTTCTAGTTTTACTACAAAACCGCTACATAAGAAATAACTTCAGAATATACATGCTCTGCCTCACCCCATATCCCCCCAAAAAAGCATTTCATCAGAATCTAGCAAAGGCACAGGATTACTCCTGTTACAAACACCACCTTCCATCATACCAGAGCAAACACCCCATGATTTATTCTGATCATTTATTTTTCAAATCTCCTGCAATTGTTTCTATGGAATACTCCAAAAGCATTTGCTGACAAAGCAATGTATTTCTTTTGTTGCCATATTGTTTCCTATGTATTATTCTAACATTCAGCCCACTTTCCCACCAACTGCTACAGAAAGAGCTTTTCCCAATGGTAGATGTCTGTCTTTCAGTACCGGATAACAGTGGCAGATGTTGCAGACTGGCTCTACCAACTCCACAGCTGAGTGCTGTACTTGGAAATCCAGCAAACATCCTGTTCCTCCAGACCTTTTAAAAAGGCCGAATGTACCTAATTCTCCATATTAAGTATCTGCCCCTGGCAAGCCAGCTAGAGCTGCTTCTGCAACTGAACCCTACCAAATACAGAAAAATGGCCTAGAAGTCAGGCACAGTGGTGCAAGTATGTAATCCCAGCAACTTGGGAGGCTGAGGCAGGAGGATCACAAGTTCTAGGATAGCCTGGGCAATTAAGTAAGGTCTTATATCTCAAAACAAAACATAAAAAGGGCTGGAGTGTAGCTCAGTGGTAGAGGTAGAGCACCCTGGGCTCAACCCTCAGTGTGAACATAGATGTGTGTGTACACACATATACATACACAAAAGAAAGAATAAAAGAAATATAGGATAGAAACTTTGAAAGGTTTAAGCTTCAGCTTAATGAAACTATAAAAACATGAGTAACTAATGTCTTCAAACACAGTCACAAAATTTATAGGAAGTGCTTTCTTCTGGACACATTCTTTTTTTTTATTATTTTATTTTTTACTTTTTTAAGAGAGAGAACTTTTTAATATTTATTTTTTAGTTTTTGCGGACACAACATCTTTGTTTTTGTATGTGGTGCTGAGGATTGAACCCGGGCCGCACGCATGCCAGGCAAGCGCGCTACGGCTTGAGCCACATCCCCAGCCCCTGGACACATATTCTTAAAATGTTTTGCCAGCTATAAAGGCGTCCCCACTCCCCAATCTCTTAAAGTGAGATAACCACTTCAGGTATAGCTGGTCACTAATAAAGTGAATATAAATCCATATCTTGAATAATCTTTGGGAGCTGACTCTGCTTAGTTTTTGTTTTGTTTTTGTACCAGGAACTGAACCCAGGGTCACTTAACCACTGAGCCACATCCCCAGCCATTTTTTGTTTTTATTCTGAAGCAAGGTCTCACTAAGTACCCTGGGCCTCACTAAATTGCAGAGATTGGTCTTGAACTTGCATCCTCCTGCCTTAGCTTCTTAAACTGCTGGGATTACAAGCATATGCCACCGTGCCAGGCTCTACTTAGATAATCTCTAACTTTGTTATGTGGCTAGGAGAAGCTGGTGCAGAAAGCAGAAGTGCAGGCTCTACCTTGTGTGTTCCTATTATCCCCCATGTTTTCATGATGAGCACTATCTTTAATCCAAGGTTTGTTTCAGTTTAGCCTATCCTATCAGAACCAGTTTAATTAAAACCAGACAGTAGGGCTGAGGATGTGGCTCAAGCGGTAGCGCGCTCGCCTGGCATGCGTGCGGCCCGGGTTCAATCCTCAGCACCACATACAAACAAAGATATTGTATCCGCTGAAAGCTAAAAAAAATAAATAAAAATTCTCTCTCTCTCTCTCTCTCTCTCTCTCTCTCTCTTTGAAAAAAACAAACAACAACAAAAAAAAAACCAGACAGTAGAATCTATGAGTGCACCAGAGGAGCGCTACATAAATGCCCAGTTTTCCACAGCTGTATACCTCAAGTGAGAATACATGTTAAGTCACAAGTCCATCTCCCTCCCGCCTCAGGACTGCTCAGAATTCAGGCAAGATCCCTGCACTGCGGATCACCACAGTGGGCAGTGAGAGTTTGTAAAGTTTAGTGTCCTACCTAGAAATTAAGTGCTGGGCTGGGGACATAGCTCAGTTGGTAGAGTGCTTGACTCGCATGCACAAAGTCCTGGGTTCAGTCCCCAGCACCACCAAAAAAAAGAAATTAAGTGCCAACATGTTCTTCCCACAGCCCAAACGGTTTATCAAACACGCATGACAGGTCCCTGACACACACTTCAGAGACACATACAAAAGGCAGCAGGTAATCACTGAAACTGAATGACACAGAAATGACAAAGAACTGTCATAAAGTTAACAAAGACCTTCAGGATTATCTAGCACAATTTTCTTATCTGACAAATACTGAAAAGGTGCCCAATGCACAACCACATATGGTTGACCTGAGACCTTTTGACAAAAACTTTTTTTTTATGTATTTATTTATTTTTTTAGTTGTAGATGGACATAATACCTTTATTTTATTTATTTATATGTGGTGCTGAGGATTGAACCTGGTGCCTCACACATGCTAGGTGAGCCCTCTACCACTGAGCCACAATCCCAGCCCCCAAAACTCTTTTTGACAAGTTTACTAGTAAACAAACCAACAATGTCTAAGCATTATTATATAACATGGGAAGAGTACAGTCTGAACGAAGGTCCCAATCATTCTTCCACAATGTTGAAGACATACCAACCTCCCATCTGAGTTTCCAATTATCTGTCAGAAATACCAAATGTAAATCTGAACTTGAAGAACCAACCAAATACAGAATCAAATATATAATGGTAACTGGTATGGATATTGAAGTAAGTGAACTCACCAAAGCCAGGGAGTAAGAGAAACAATAGTCAAGAGAACCACAATGCAGCTATACATACAAAGACAAAGTATTTTCCAGAAATTCATATATAATCAAAGTCAAATGCAAAAAAGTTCAAAAAGAATCATGACCAAAAAACAACTACAGGTCTTGGAAAGGATGTGATGGCTTAATAACCTTGGGAAAGACTGATGACAGAAGCAGATACAAGAGCTGGAAAAGGGGATAAAACATGAATGGAGGAGAAGAAAGCAGAAGCAAACAATATCAACCAGTACCACTGGCCAGGATTTCAAGTCATTTGGTGGACAGGAGAAATCTTGTTGGATAAAATGGTACCTTATAGGGTTAGGCAAAATCAAAAGAAGGACTGAGGAGTAGGGAAGAGAAGTTGGAAGACTCAAAATATGAACACTAAGAAAAATAATACCATGAAAGAGGAAAGATGCAGGACAGAAAAGTTGACACCCTGAAAAGGGCTTGGGATAACATATCCACTTATAAACTCTGCAACTGAGTTTCCATCAGCCACAGACTCACTTAAATCCAAGAGTTAAGAAGCTCTGCAATATTGAATTAATCTGGAAAAAGCATAAATGCTTTCTTCAAAAGCATAAATGCTTTCTTCAAAAGCAGAAGGCAAAGAAGAGATTTCAGAGAAAAAGGGAAGAAGGTAGAACTGCAAGAACTCCTGTGGAGTGGCCTGGGCCTCAGCAACACTGCTGAGTGTGTATGAGCTATGTGCTTGTCAAGGACAGGCACCAAGGAAACCTGGAAGGGAGGTAACGACCTGGTCTAGAGGAAAAACATGAGCCCCACGGGGACAGTGCATGACCTCCACCTTAGAGAGAAACAGCAGTTCCCTTCCCAGAAGACAGGAGAGTCCCAAGAAGGCACGGAGGTGAGAGGAACAGCCTGCTCAAGCTGTGCAGATGCATCACACAACCAGCACAGCAAGACCACTAGGCCTGGAGGACTCAAAGCCTGGAATAAGGAGATAAAAGGAAGCAAAGAGCAAGATGGATGCTGACCAGCCAGACCCAATCAGCAAGGCTCTGGCGGGCAAGGGATAGTAGTAGGAGCAAGTGAAGGTGCCACCAAAGAAAGCGGAAGATTCTCCCCTGCTCAGGCGGAAGGGCAGATGGAACAGGAGTAGGGAGGGTGGAAGAAAGCAGCAGACCAGGTTCCAGACTAGGCTTGGAGGAAGAGAAAACATAGGCTGAATGAGAGCAAGGAGAACTAGGATAGCAAGACAGTTTTCTTTTCTTTTAATTTTAATTTTTTTAGTTGTACTTGGACACAATACCTTTATTTTGTTCATTAACTTTTATGTGGTGCTGAGGATCAACCCAGGGCCTCATACATGCTAGGCAAGCACTCTGCCACTGAGCCCCAGCCCCAACCCCAGAAGCGGGAGGCGGTACTGAATCAGGGGCACTTAGCCACTGAGCCACATCCCCAGCCCTATTTTGTATTTTATTTAGAAACCGGGTCTCACTGAGTTGCTTAGCACCTTGCTTTTGCTGAGGCTGGCTTTGAACTTAAGATCCTCCCATCTTGGCCTCCCAAGTGGCTGGGATTACAGGCATGTGCCACTATGCCCAGGCTTCAGTTTTTGTTTTTGTTTGTTTATTTGTTTGTTGTAGTGCTAAGAATTGAACCCATGTTATTGTGCATGTGAGGCAAGCACTCTACCAGCTGAGCTATATTCCTAGGCCCTCAGCTTCAGTTTCCTACCTTGAGTGAGGACTAAGTAATAAATGCCACTAGAAACTGAAGGTGCTGACTACAACATTTAGAGGAATTTTTCAAACTCAACAACAAACACTACCTCAGCAAAAGGAAAAAAAAAAAAATCACCAGTCTCACAATACTCTAAGTCTAATCTGCTATGCCAGCGTGCCTACCAACAAACTGCATGGATCATCTGTAAACACACAAAAACACAATGAACATTTCAACTCACAGCTTATGGAGAGACATTTAACCGCAACGACCAGCTGACATATCCAAACCCTCCTATTATTCTAATAAGGGAAGGAGGAAGACAGTAGCTACAATTTAGGACTGTTAATACATGATGGTGTTTTTTATGCTTTTAAAAGCAGAAAGCAGGGCTGGGGTTGTGGTTCAGAGGTAGAGTGCTCGCCTAGCACGTGGTAGGCCCTTGGTTCGATCCTCAGCACCACATACAAATAAATAAATTAAATAAAGGTTTAAAAAAAAAAAAGCAGAAAGCAGCTGGATACAGTTGCACACACCTGTAATCCCAGTCATTTGGGAGGTTGGGGCAAGAGGATCCCAAGTTCAAAGCCAGCCTCAGCAATTTAGCAAGATCCTAAAGCAACTTAGCAAGACCCTGTCTCAAAACATAAAAAAAAAAAAAAAAAAAAAAAGAAAGAAAGAAAAAAATAGGACTGGAGGTGTGATATGGCTCAGTGAATAAACACCCCTGGGTTCAACCCCTGGTAACAAAAAAAAAAAAAAAGGGAAGCAGCAGCAACAACAATATATAAGCACAGTTAAGAATTCATTTATGAGGGCTGGGGATGTGGCTCAAGCGGTAGCGTGCTCGCCTGGCATGCGTGCGGCCCGGGTTCCATCCTCAGCACCACATACAAACAAAGATGTTGTGTCCGCCAAAAACTAAAAAATAAATATTAAAAAAAAATTCTCTCTCTCTCTCTCTCTCCCCCACTCTTTCTTTTTTTTTTTTTTTTAAATATTTATTTATTTATTTATTTTAGTTCTCGGCGGACACAACATCTTTGTTTGTATGTGGTGCTGAGGATCGAACCCGGGCCGCATGTATGCCAGGCGAGCACGCTATTGCTTGAGCCACATCCCCAGCCCCCCCCACTCTTTCTTAAAAAAAAAAAAAAAAAAGAATTCATTTATGGAATTTCTTCATCTAATGCAACAAACTTCATCAGGGCCTGGTAACCCCTTTCTCTACACTAACCTGATCAGTGACCAGGAATTTGTAACCTCTAACAGATTGTCAAGAGGGGCTGAGCTCCCAGGTGTAACCTGAAGAATGTCTGTCCTGCTGGACTATTTCACCACAGTGGAA